TGGGAGAATTACAAGAGAGTCCAAGATTGCTATGATAGGCTGTTAGCCCCATTTTACAGGACAAAAACCAAAACCCTGAGGCTCACACATTTAAGTAGAAGAGGTCACAGCTAGTAGGGAGTGGAGCGAGGATTTCATCCCCTGCAGCCCATCTTCAGCCTGTGCTGAGTCCCTGCTGCTTTGCTTCTGGAGATGGGCCTCACGCTGGGACTGCTTGGGCAGAAAGAGCATGATCAAAGGCTTGAGGGTGAGGACTGCTTTCTAGGTGTCGAGGTAAACCAGCTGTCCTTGAGGTTTGAAGAAAATTGGGTTGGGAAGTTAAGCTGGGGTAGAATTTGGAGGGGGTGAAACACATTTTTGTATCTGTGCTGGTGTCTTCATGGCTTAGAGAGAAGGGCCTTGTCTGGCTCATGCTGCTGAGTCAGCCTGACCCCTTTCTGTTGGAACAGGTCCTAGACCAGAAGGAGCACAGGCTGGATGGCCGTGTCATTGACCCTAAAAAGGCCATGGCTATGAAGAAGGACCCGGTGAAGAAAATCTTCGTTGGGGGTCTGAATCCTGAAGCCACTGAGGAAAAGATCAGGGAGTACTTTGGCGAGTTTGGGGAGGTGAGTGTGGCCTTGGGAGTAGCCCATCAGATGCCCTAAGGCTGCCTTCTTTCTGGTCCTTGGTATCCTTGGCTGAGTAGACCCTCCCAGGCAGGGCTTATTTTTCACTCTCTGCCTTCAGTGGGGTCTTTCCTCCTGTGAGTCCCCTATACGCTCTGGGGTAGAGAGGTATGAGCCTGAGTTTGCCTATGCTTTTTGCAGATTGAGGCCATTGAACTTCCAATGGATCCAAAGTTGAACAAAAGACGAGGTTTTGTGTTTATCACCTTTAAAGAAGAAGAACCTGTGAAGAAGGTTCTGGAGAAAAAGTTCCATACTATCAGTGGAAGCAAGGTAAGGTGTCCCCAACTCTGCTTGGCATCCTGTGCTGCTGGAGAGCTGGCCCTTAGAGGGGTGGGGGTTAGGGGTTGGGCCACGGTGCAGGAGCTCTCCAGGTTGGTTAGACCTAACTATTTCTCTGAAGTGTATGCTGCCCTGGTTGGGGCAGTGTTCTGATCCTTCAAAGACTTCCCGGGCTGGGAGGACTGCCAGTAAACAAACACAGGATGTGAGGGAGGCAGGAGAAGGTGGCGTCTGAATAGAGCAGGTTGAGTAGCCTCTTTAGTTTGTCATTTAAAGCTAGAGGTGAGAGTGTTCTAGATTTTTGAGTCCAGGGTGTATGAAGCCTGCAGTTAAGGTCTCAGAAGATCCTAGAACTTCTGCAACTCACTGATTTTCCTCTGTGGTGAAGTTTTTCTTGCTCTAGAGCCTTTTTACCTCCTTCTACAACCAAATCTTTGTCCACTTCCATCCGTTTTGCTGCTTTGAGTTTTTTGTTTTTTTTTTGCTTTGAGACAGGGTCTTGCTTTGTTCAGGCTGGGGTGTGGTAACACTATCATGGCTCACTGCAACCTTGACCTGGGCGCAAGGGATCTTCCCATCTCAGTCTCTCAAGTAGCTGGCACCACAGGCATGCACCACCATGCCTGGCTCATATTTTCTTTTTTTTTTCTTTTGAGATGGAGTCTTGCTCAGTTGCCCAGGCTGGAGTGCGGTGGCACGATCTCAGCTCACTGCAAGCTCCACCTCCCGGGTTCATGCCATTCTCCTGCCTCAGCCTCCTGAGTAGCTGGGACTACAGGTGCCCGCTACCATGACCAGCTAACTTTTTTGTATTTTTAGTAGAGACTGGGTTTCACCATGTTAGCCAGGATGGTCTCAATCTCCTGACCTTGTGATTTGTCTCTCGGCCTCCCAAAATGCTGGGATTACAGGCGTGAGGCACTGCGCCTGGTATTGTATTTTTTTTTTAAAGCCTGGTCTCACCATGTTGTCTGAGCTCACCATCCTCTGCCTCAGGCTTGTAAACTGTTGGGATTACAGGCATGAACTGCCTCACTTGGTCTTCTGGGCACCTCTTTAAGTCAATCCTATACCCAGGCAAAAATCCTTCCAAAGATCTCCCAGGATCCTGGCCAGCTCCAGGGTCAGTTGTGCTTTCAAATGACTGGAATCATGTGCAGAGACGTGTAGCTCTTCCTCCCTCTTGAACTCTGGTCAGGGAAAGGGTAGTTCAGGCTTCAAGTTGGCAGTTGGGAGTTGTGGGTGCGGCCTGCAGTGGCAGGGTGTGGCAGGCTCTGTTTCTGAGCAGGAGTTGGCAGCCAGATAACGTAGGACAGGTGGAGCTCCTGGAAGTCTCTGTCCTGGCTGGGAGTTTGGGAAGATTGGATTAGGATAGTCTTAAATTTTCTATAAAGTGACAGTCTTTGAGGCAGTTAAGGGAGGCATTGGTTATTACTCCATTGGACAGTGATAAACAGGCCTTTTTCTCTATGTGCCATAATGGGAAATGGGGTGGGAAGAGCCTCTGAGGCAAAGTTTAAGTGAAACTACTGGTAGTGAGTCTTAGAAGTAAGTATATTTAGTTGGTTGTATTCAGTATTTTTAATTCAGTAGGATAGAATATATATGAGATTGCATTATTTTGCCAGTTAAAAGTATGACTATATGGGGACACTGTAAAATGTACTATTTTTAATGGGGGTGCGTGTCAGGATTTTCTTTAGAAATACACTGGTCTGGTCTAACTTATTTAAGCAGGAGCATTGAAAGTACCCCAGCCTACCCCATCCCACCCTCAGTGGACAAAAAGGAAATTGACTGACTTGAGGGGATGCAGACATCTGGGTCATCCCAACAGACCAGTGGTTAGGAGGAGCGGGTGGGTAGCATTATGGCCTCAGGCAGGCCCCCCATCCTGAGCCTCTGAAAGCCTCTGAGACTTTATCTGTAAGAGGGAGGTCAGGGTCGCCTTCTCAATAGCATGTATTTGAATGAGATGAGTTCCTTCTGTAAAGAGAAAAAGATGTTAAAACCTCATTGTGTAAGGCCACTCATCTGAGAAGTCTTGTCTGACCCTCTAGCCCAGTAGGACCAAGGTGTGATGCCTGCTCCCAGCCTGTCCTCTGCTCCCCTGGGCTGCAGTTGGCCCAGTTGCCTGCCTCCATTAGACGTGGAGTTGCCCTGGGGCTGAGATGCCCATCTCAAGTGCATTCTGTGGGAAGGGTTCTCTGCTGGAAGGCCCGTGGTTTTAGTTGGGATTCCATGAGCTTTATTTAGCTCAAGGGTGATCTCCCACACTAGCATATTTTGTTTTTGAGCAGATGGACCTGATCTGATGTTTGTTGCAGTGAAGATCTTTGTGCAGTCACTGCCCTGAGTTTGTCCTACTGGCCTGACCACTGTTCTCTTGGCTTTTAGTGTGAGATCAAGGTGGCCCAGCCCAAAGAAGTCTATCAGCAGCAGCAGTATGGCTCTGGGGGCCGTGGAAACCGCAACCGAGGGAACCGAGGCAGCGGAGGTGGCGGTGGAGGTGGAGGTGAGTGGAACCTGGATGAAGATGGGTCCTGTTTCCCTGCCTACATGGAGCCTTCCAAACCTGTCTCGGGGCTCCCTCTGGTGCTGTGCAGCAGGGGTGGGCAGACTGTGAGGTGGGGGACGAGCAGGAATAGGAGTGGCTCTGGGTCAGGGCTGTGTGCTTGAGGCTGTTGCTGCCTGCTGCTGCCCCTTGGAATGGCTTGGGTGCCCAGGGCAGAGAGAGCATTTGTGTTATACTCTGGGGGAGGGGACATGATGGGTGTCTTGGCTTTGTGGATGTCCTGAGTCTGGTACACCTGTGAGCAGGTAGGCAGAAGGGTGGGTAGGGCAGAGCTGTGCCAGGCATTTATCCCCTTCCATCCCAGGCCCCTCTGACTCCAAAGCCTGAACTGCATCTTTTTAAAGGCCAAGCTGCCAAGGAGAGTGGGAGTGATCAGAGAGTGACTGAGTGAGTGAGCTGCCTTGTTTGCCCCAAGTAAAGCTAGCGTCCTGGTCTCTGGTCCTCTGCTTGGGTCTCTCAGATGCAGGGTTGGGCCCAGGGCCCTGTACACCAGAACAGCAGCCCCTTGGCTTCTGCCTGAGTTGCCATAGTAACCCTGCCACCCAAAGGGCAGGATTTCCTCCATCCTAGCTCCTGCGTATGCTAAATGGTCCACGGGCCCCTGTGCCCTGCTCCCCCCACAGGTCAGAGTCAGAGTTGGAATCAGGGCTACGGCAACTACTGGAACCAGGGCTACGGCTACCAGCAGGGCTACGGGCCTGGCTATGGCGGCTACGACTACTCGCCCTATGGCTATTACGGCTACGGCCCCGGCTACGACTACAGTAAGTAGGAGAGAGGGAGGCCCCATCCGCTCACCCACCCCCAGGGGAGGCAGGACAGACAGTGCAGGAGCCACTGGCAGCAGGGGCTTTGGAGTCAGACAGGCCTGGCTCAGCCATGAGAGCTACTCAGTTTTGAGCCTTAGACTTCCGGGTCTTAGTAACATGAGGAAGGCAATCTCTGCTGTCACAGGGCTGGTGAGGATCCTGCGAAGATGCATATCAAGCGCGTGGCACAGGGCAAATGCTTGTAAATAGTAGCTGCTATGGTTGTTCTTATCCCTAGGTCAGGGTAGTACAAACTACGGCAAGAGCCAGCGACGTGGTGGCCATCAGAATAACTACAAGCCATACTGAGGCGGCAGCAGGAGCGACCAACTGACCGCACACATGCTTTGTTTGGATATGGAGTGAACACAATTATGTACCAAATTTAACTTGGCAAACTTTCTATGGCCTGTCCCATGTGCATCTTATTTAAAATTTCCCCCATGGAAATCACTCTCCTGTTTACTATTTCCAGAGCTCTAGTTGTTTAGGCAGCGTGTGGTGTCTGAGAGGCCAGAGCGCCATTATGGGCTGATTTTTATTACCAGGTCCCCCAGAACCAGGTGGGAGGCTCTGCTTCCTGCTGCCGCTCTGCAGCCTGGACCTGTGGACCCTGGTTGTAAAGAGTAAATTGTATCTTAGGAAACCAGTGTCACCTTTTTTTCACCTTTTAATTTTATATTATTTGTGTCATACATTTCCTGTAATGGAAGTGTTAATTTTACTGTACTTTTTGGTACCTTTTGGGAATCTAATGTATTGTAAGGTATTTTACACGTGTCCTGATTTTGCCACAACCTGGATATTGAAGCTATCCAAGCTTTTGAAATAAAATTTAAAAACCCCCAAGCCTGGGTGAGTGTGGGATATGCTGTGTGAGACCTCTTGCTCAGGGTGGGGGGTGCCAGGTGCCCTGGACTTTGGGCTTCCTCCTGCAGCAGGCCCAGTTGTGGGGGTGTCGTTTAAGGACTGCCCTGCTTAGGACTGAGCCCTCTTTAAAGAAAGGAATAAGAGGTCTATGGGGAGTGAGGATGGGGCAGTTGAGGGCTCACATCCCCAGCAGGCATGTCCCCTCCTGGGACACTTTAGAACACCAACCTTCTTGGCTGATGAATGAAAATCGATTCTTTACACACTAGGGCAGTGCCAGGGCCAGCTGAATTGGTGCACAATAGTGCCCCTCCTGGCTGGTGAAGAAAAGCCTGCTCTAGCAGGGGATGTTTACTGGCTGGATTGGAGCCCAACTCCAGGTCTGGCATTTGGGGCATATGACTAGGTGGTTACAAGAGGCAAGGGTGGGTTGGGGTTCCACATGGCTACAGCCCCATAGGTTTCAAGGGAGGAAATAGCTGTTCTGCCATCAAGTGCAAGCTAAGCATTGGAGATTTTCCAGTGTTGAAGAAACTAACCTTTGGGAAGGAGCATCAACCAGAACAAAAAATGTCTTAAGAAAAAAAAAAAGGCTGTTTTCCGAGGCTGCTTGCTGCTGATGGTAAGGAACCCGCTTTGCATCTCCCAAGAGTAAGAAGCAAGGCCCACTCACCTGGAGTACACTTAGGCAGAGCAGGGCTAGCTTAGAGCTGGAGCCTCAGCGTCTGGCAACTTCGCACCTTCTCTTCCATGTCTGAAAAAGACCACAAAGCCATGCGGACTCAGTCACCTTTCTCTGCTGAAGATGCCCTGTGACTTCAGTGTCCAAACTGGAGGACGGTTTAGAGATTGGGCCCTCTGGCTCTCCACACCCATGTCCCATTCCCCAAAGGAGTGACAGCAGTTTCCTGAAAAGCACAAAGCCAGCCCTCAATTCCTCTGAGATTTCTAGTCTCTGTCCAGGATCCCTAAGCCTGTTCTGTGGCCAGCCTTTGCCCCCCACAAACACTCCTTTTCATCAGATCCCTACCGCTTCCAATTTGTGTCTAGCAGGGATGGGCCTCCACCCCCAGCTCCAGAGCCCTGGGATTAGGCATGCCTGTGGGTAGCAGTGATCACCCAGAGGTAGGAGGGCACAGGTTGCTTGGCTGGCAGCTCTGATCTCTACTGTGAGATGCAACTTTGCCTATGTGGGGTCTCACTGAGCTATAAATGGCAACACAGCCATGAGATTTCCTTGTAAGTGGATTTAGGGGGGGACCCTGGGTTGACCACGACCATCCTAGGTGATGGGGAATGTGGGGTAGAATTTCATTTTGCGTCCAGTCTCGGTGGTACAAATCTTTCAGCCACCCAGCAGCCTCATGTGACCTGCCTCATACAGAATGAAACGACTGCCATCTCTACATTCTAGGCTGGCGGTAATGGGGTCTCAACTCCCACTGTAGTTCTTACGGCCTGTTTCTCAGGCCCACTACTGATTTGTCCTGCGTACATCTGATGCCTGCCGAGGCAGGCGGGGTGATGGCTCAGCTTCCACCTGCTGACAGCCCAGGAAGCTCTTAGGCACAGGCAGGAATAGGAGCAGGTTGGGCATGAAAGACCCTCTGTTGCTCCCTGCACCGTCCAGAGGACACGTGCCTCTGCTCTTGGACTCTTGTCCCCTCCCTGTTCCATGCTAGGAGGCTCTAGTTGCTGGCTTCAGGCTGGGTTCTAGAGACATGGCCAAGCTCAGGCTTCAAGCTCACCAGTCAGAATGGCATCCAGCTTTGCCACCACCTGCCGTGCATTGTCCAGGCTGAAGCACATTGGGGGTTTAAACTTCAGGATGTTCCTCCCAGGGCCATCAGTGCTCAGCAAAACGTAGTTCTCCTTCAGCCTGTGAGGACAGGACACCCCTTTACATGGCCTTCAAGGCCTTCCTCAGCCTGGCCTTGGCCTCATGTCCAGTGCTCCAGCCATACTGCCTTCAGAGCCTTCCATGGGCCAGTTCCTGCCAGGACACTACTGGTCACCCCTACCAAAGTCCTGTGCATCTGGCCCACAGCCGCCCCTGCTTGGGGTGCACTGCACCTGGTCCTGAGCCTGCTGCCCCACAGAACAGGCGCCTTGCCTCACCTAACCCCTGGAGCCACAGTCCAAGCCAAGAATGGATGGCCACAGGGAAACAGCAGACTGCAACAAGAGTCCCAGCATTCTCTGGTTTTCTGTGTGGTTGACGTGATGTATGTTGTTTTTTTAAGAATGTCCAACATTGCAGTTGGTGTAATGGGCCCCACGTGTCCCTCACGAGCTTCAGGAATCTCCCTGGCCTGTCCTCTGGGTTATCTTAAAATTCCAGTTGAAAATTTCCACCTCTTCTTAGGAAGATGGCTTTATCTTAGCATCGTTTGTAGCTAATAATCACTTTTAGTCCACACTCTAACCTCATCTCTGAGATGAGGGGTCTGCATGGTTGTGTTTATATTCTTTGATTCTTGTTCCCATTCTTTTGTAAACCTTGTTATTTTTATTTCTTGGGGGTTGGGAGTCTACCTTCTGGTTTCATTTTCCTATCCCAGTCTTTCTGGCACTGACCGTGGCCATGCCAGAAAGGACAGGGCTTGGACTTTGGAGTTAGACGGCCCTGGGGCCAGATTGAGCTCTTGCCACCTAGCAGGGTGACTGCAGGTGACTTACCCATTTCCTCACTGAACTGGAAAAGCACCCCCAGGGTACTGTGAGATGAAAGAGTAGGCTGAACTTGGGATCTGTTTCCTTCCATACCACCCGACCATTCCGAATCCCTGAGACTCCTGGGAGCGGGGTGGGGGTGAGCTGGGGATGTGACTGACAGCAGAGAGAAGGCAGGGACTAGGAAAGGCCAAGTTCAAACACAGCACAGAGAGATTTACATCAATACCATGCATGTCTCACAATTTGAATAAGGACACATCAAATACCAGAAGAGCTTTCCATGGTGGCAGTGAGGGAATGGGGAGGCCTGGGGAATGGAGATAAAAGGGAATAATCATTAAACTAGAAGTCATCCTGAGGCCTCAGGGTCCAAGTGAAAGGACAAGCAAACCAGGGCAGTGGGACTGGTGGAGTCTGAGTTCTGAAACACCCCCCAACCCAGCTTAGGAGCAGGAGTCCTGTCCATCCCAACCACCTGCATGGCAACCCTGAGTCTGGTGCTGCCACAGCTCCCTGGTGTGAATGAAGGTGCTTCCCTTCTCCAGGCCAAGGTGGCATTAGTAGGGGTTCCTGGGTCTGAGTGCCCTGCTAGCTTGGGCATTCTAGGCAGAGGTGCTGCTCTGGTCTGGGAACAGCCTGTGTCTCATCTGCAGCCTTCGCAGTCAGGCACTGGGTACAGAACTACTAACCACTTATCTCTGTCCTCAGCTGATAGCATCAGCTGTCCCCCCGCCCACCACCACCCCCGGCCCCAGCCCTCTTTCAGTCAAGTCTGTGGCCCAGAGTGCTGGGGGGACAGATGAGCCTCCTTTCCACTAAGGGCCTCTGGCCCTGCAAAGAAGCACCTGTGGTGTCTCTTACTCCAGGAAGCAACTTGTTTCAAGAAGAAAATACCTTGATACCAAGTAGGCAGCCTCTTCAGTTGCTGGTGTCCTTGTGGCCTCATCTTTGATCAGATCCACACCAATGAAGAGCCCAACACCCCTGCAGGGGAAGGTGATGACGTCGCAGGAGGCCATGCCTGAGGGGCCACGGTGCTCACCTCACCCCGTCTGGGCTCCTACCTGTGCCTCTTGGGGAGGCTGAGCACAGGAGGCACCTTCAGAAGGTGGTGAGAATAGTTTCAGGGAATAACTGGGCTGGGAGGGATCTTTGGTGTGGACAGAGGAGAGAGGCTTGGGGATAGCTAGGGGTCAGGTCATATCCTGGCTTTCTCCTCCCCGGGAGTGCCGTTTTGGGCAACAGCACCTCTCAGTGTCTCAGTCCTCTTGAGAGCGGACATAACCCCACCATCCCAGGTTGTTAGGTGAAGAAAAGGTACCACACTGGGCCCTGGCAGGTTGGTGGTGACTGCTGCCCCCAGAGCCTCACCTGACATCCCCGACGATGGGATGTTTGATTTTTTGCTGCCTGAGGAGTTCCATCAGGAAGCTGCCCACACTGGTGGCATGAGCCTGGAGCTGCTCCTTCTCCAAGACATTCAGGACGGCCAGCCCCACAGCGCAGGACACTGGGCTGCCCCCAAACTGAGTCAGGGACAAAGAACATGTCAGATGCCCCAGCAGAGTGGGCCATGCCCCAGAGTCAGGGTGAGGCAGAACTGCCACACAGGTTCCAAGGCCAGTGGCAAGAGCACAGGCCCCAAACCCCTTAGGGTGCACAGTCCTCAGTAGTAGTAAATGGGGTTCAATGGGGGCCCCCATGGGCTGTCCTGGCTTTCCAGGAGCTAATGTGACTGCAACCCAGGTCAGGTACCCCTGAAGTACAGTAGGAGCCCCTAGAAGATACAGAATCAGAAGAGAGGGTGTCCTGTTTGTTCCCACAGAGCTAGTCTTTACCAAGAGAGGCTTTAAGGCCCCATCTCCTGGGCCCAGACCCACAGCACTGGACTAGGTACTTCCTCCTTCAAGGAGGGTCAGCGCGGCACGCCAAGGCCCACCCAGGGAAAGCCACTTAACACACACCTGGAGGTCTTTGGCTCCTTTTCCCTGCCCACCCTGTCCTTATTCTGCAGGTATCTGAGTGGAGACCTGTTTTTTAGAGGATCATGAGCAAGGTGTCTCCTGCAGACCATGTTTTTTGTTTTGTTTTTAAACTACGTCTTTAAAAACATCAGCTTTGTTGAGGTATAATTTCCATATAAACTGTGTTTAAAGTATAAAGTTCAATGTGAGGTGACAAATGTATGTACCTGTGTAACCTCCCTCGCAGTGAGGTTACAGAACATTTTCATCACTTCCTTGTGCACCCATCCCACTACTGCTGGCCCCAGGCAACCACTGATCTGCTTTCTGTCACTATGAGACCTACAGGGGGCTTTGAAAGGCTGTGACATATTCCTGGGAATCTAGAAGGCCATTCATATGCACAGGGATGTGCTCATGCTGAGTGCTGTGTGTGTGCTCAGGAAAGATCTAGAAAGCCCTAAGCTCTCACCACTGGCTACCTTGAGGCTCTGCAGAATGAGGAAGTAAAGGCTAAGGCAGTTACAAGCTCTTGGCTGAGTTCCAGGTCATTAAGGCGATCTCATGGTTAGAGGACCACTGAGCTAATCAAGCAGAGACTACAGTGGCCACACATGACAGAGAACACACTTTACAGAATTGGTTCAGAAAAGGCACTACAACACCAGAAAAAACCACCATGGGGAGGGAGGAGAATATGATCTCCACAGTTGCCATATTATATTACTTAAAATGTCCAGCTTTTAACACAATTCTGAAACATGCAAAGAAGCATGGCCCAGACATGGGAGGAAAAAAGCAATCAATGCAAACTGTCCCTGAGGAAGGTGACACTAACCTTATTGGACAAAGACTTTAATCAGATGTTACAAATATGTTAGCTGGGTGCAGTGGCTCATGCCTGTAATCCCAGCACTCTGGGAGGCCAAGGTGGGTGGGTTGCCTAAGCTGAGGAGTTCGAGACCAGCCTGGCCTGGGCAGCACAGTGAAACTCCATCTCTACAAAAAATGAAAACAGCCAGGCGTGGTGGCACATGCGTGTACTCCCAGCTCCTTGGGGGGTGAGGTAGGAGGATCGCTTGAGGTTGAAGCTGCAGTGAGCCACGACTCCAGCCTGGGTGACAGAGCGAGCCCATCTCCAAATGAGCAAACAGAAACAACCCCAAAACCAAGTATGTTAAGAGAACTAAAGGAAACTACGCCTAAAAGACTGAAAGCAAAGCATGAAAATGATGTCTACCAGAGTCTAAGGATAAAGAGATAAATTATTAAAAATCAAACAGAAAATCTGAAGTTGATAAGCACAATAAATGAACTGAAGCATTTTCTAGAGAGGCTCAACAGATTTTTTTTTTTTTTTTGAGACAGTCTAGCTGTCACCCAGGATGGAGAGCAGTGGTGTGATCTCGGCTCACTGCAACTGCTGCCTCCCAGGTTCAGGCGATTCTTGTGCTTCAGCCTCCCAAGTAGCTGGGACTATAGGTGCGTGCCACTACATCTGGCTAATTTTTGTATTTTTAGTAGAGACGGAGTTTCACCATGTTGGCCAGGCTGGTCTTAAACCCCTGACCTCAAGTGATCCACCCAGCTTAGCCTCCCAAAGTGCTAGGAAATTACAGGCGTGAGCCACTGCGCCTGGCAACAGCAGATTTAAGCTGGCAGATGAAAGAATCAGTGAAAAAAAAAAAACGTCAATTGAGATTGTACAGTCTTAAGACCAGAAAGGAAAAGGAATAAAAACAGTCATATAGACCCGAGGACACAAGCACACCAACATACTGAGTGTCCCAGAAAGAGAGGAAAGGGGCAGAACAAATACGAAAACTTTAAAAACCCTATATAACTTGCAATGAATTGAATGTGTCTCCCCCAATTCATATGTTGAAATCCTAACCTCCAATGTGATGGTATTAAGAGGTGGGGCCTTTAGGTTATTAGGTCACAAGAAGAGAGCCTTCATGAATGGGATTATGGTTTTATAAAAGGGATCCCAGAGAGCTCTCACCCTTTTGACGACATGAGGGTACAGCGAGAAGTTGGCTGTTTGCAACCTGGAAGAGGACTCTCACCAGAACCCAACCATGCTGGCACCCTGATCTTAGATTTGCAGCCTTCAGAACAGTGAGAAATAAATCTGTTTATAAACCACCCAGTCTACAGTATTTTGTTACAGCATCTTGAACTCACTAAAACATAACTTTTAAAGAAATTAAAGCAGCAGTTAAATATCTTCCCACAAAACACAAGGCCCAGATGATGGCTTTATAGATGAGTTTTTACCTTCAAAGGACAGATCATCCCAATTTTATGTAAAAGAAAAAGAAGGAATATTTCCCATTTCATTCTACAAGGTTAGTAGGACCCAGTTACCAAAACCCAAGGTATAAGAAAAAAATGTGAGCCAATATTTTACTCCTGAAAATAGAGGCCAAATTCATAAAATATAAGTAAACAGAGTGCAATAATATAGAAAAATGATAATATTCCATACCCAAGTTCGATTTGTCCCAGGTCTGCAAAGATATTAGAAAAGCCATAAATATAATTCACCATGATAACAAATTAAAAGAGAAGAAATATTGCTTTAATACATGCATAAAAAGAACAGGATAAAATTCAATTCCTTTTTATAGTAAAATCTCATAGTAAGTTAAGTAGTAGGAGATTTTCTTAACCTGATTGAGAACATATAGTAAAAATCTGATCTAGGCCAGCTGCGATGGCTCACACCTGTATAATCCCAGCACTTTGGGAGGCCGAGGCAGGCAGATCACTGGAGGCCAGGAGTTCAAGACCAGCCTGTCCAACATGGCGAAACCCCATCTCTACTAAAAATGCAAAAAATAAGCTGGGCATGGTGGCACATGCCTGTAATCCCAGCTACTCAGGAATTGGTGGCATGAGAATTGCTTGAACCCGGGAGGCGGAGGCTGCAGTGAGCCGAGATCATGCCACTGCACTCCAGCCTGAGTGACAGAGTGAGACTCCATCTCAAAAAGAAAAAAAAAAAAGTATATATATAGTAAAAATCTAGAACGAACATCATCCTAAATGGACAAATAAGCATTCCCATAAACTGGACAAGTACAAGACAAGCATTGTCACTGCTTGTATTCAACTATCTCCTAGAAGTCTCTCACCCAGTGTAGTATGACAGCTACCATTATTTGGAGATGATATAATCGTTTACATAGACAAAACAACCAAAAAAAGTCTGCCTATAAATTATTAGAAATACTAGAGTTTAGCAAGGGGATAGATATAAGATTAGTATAAGAAAGTATTTTATACATCAGCTGCAAACAATAAAGACATCACCATTTCATGATAAAACTATCAAATATCTAGGACTAAATCTAATGATGTGTAAGATCTTTATAGGGAAAATTATAAAACATAAATATACCATATTCATGGATAGGAAAAGGAATATTGTAAAGAAATCAATTCTCCTTGGCCTGGTGCTGTGGCTTATGCCTGTAATTCCAGTACACTGGAAGGCCGAGGTGGGTGGATCACAAGGTCAGGAGATAGAGACCATCCTGGCTAAGACAGTGAAACCCCGTGTCTACTAAAAGTATGAAAAACGAGCCAGGCATGGTGGTGGATGCCTGTAATCCCAGCTACTCAGGAGGCTGAGGCAGGAGAATCGCTTGAACCCGGAGGCGGAGCTTGCAGTGAGCCGAGATCGTGCCACCACACTCCAGCCTGGGTGACAGAGCGAGACTCTGTCTCAAAAAAAAAAAAAAAAAAAACTCCTCAAACTGATCTAAAGATCAAGCAATTCCCCTATCAGAATCCCAGCAGAGTTTTTCATAAAATGTTTAAAGGTAACTCTTAAAATTTAAATCAAAGAGAAAAGAGACAGGAATAGTCACAGGTGAAAGGGGACTTTTTCTACAAGATACCAGAAGCTATTATGAATGTAAAACCTATTATGAAGCTCTAGTAATAATGTGGTACATGAACAGTAATCTGACCAAAACTGACCAAAAAAGTATAAAAGCTCTGAAACAGATCTTCTCATGTGTGAACTTTGGTTACATAACAGAGGAGGAATGTAAGATGAATGGAGAACAAAGGGAGCAGAAAAAGATTTTTGAAAAAAGGAAAACACTGGTATCACATGCACAAAGGATGTAATTGGATTCCTGATTAACATCATGTACAAAAATCAACTGCAGATGGATTAAGGACCTATATGTCAAAACAAAATATTAAAAGACTTAAGAGGAAACATAAATGAATATATTTTGTAACTTGGAGTAGGGATATCTTAAACAATATATGAAAAACACTGTCTATAAAATAAAACAAAATGATAGAGTTGACAATGTTAAAATTTAAAACTTTATCATAAATATGTAAAGGGAGTGAAGATAGGTTATAAACTGGATGAATATATTCACAAATACACAACTGACAAGTGATTAGCATCAAAAATATATAGATATGTATGTGTTGGTATACACACACAGATACACACATATACAAACAGACACAAAACTCGCACAAATTAACCACTAGTAAGTCAAATCAAGAAATGGGCAAAAGACACAGGCATTTCAGTGAAGAGGAAACAAATCGTCAATAAACATATGAAGAGATACTTCATGTAATCTGAAATCAAGGAATGGCATATCAAGACCACACAAGCTACTGTTTTACGCTCCACTTGACTGCCAAAAATTAAAAGGCACTGAAGTAGATACAGTCCGGGTGCGGTGGCTCACGCCTGGAATCCCAGCATTTTGGGAGGCCAATGTGGGCTGATTGCTTGAGCTCAGGAGTTTGAGACCAGCCTGGGCAACATGGTGAAACCCCACCTGTACCAAAAATACAAAAAATTAGCTGGGCATGGTGGCGTACACCAGTGGTCCCAGTTACTGGGGAGGCTGAAGTGGGAGGATCACTTGAGCTCCGGAAGTAAAGGCTGCAGTTAGCTGAGATTGCACCACTGCACTCCAGCCTGGGTGACAGAGTGAGATTCTGTCTCAAAAAAAAAAAAAAAAAAGGGGCCGGGCGCGGTGGCTCAAGCCTGTAATCCCAGCACTTTTGGGAGGCCGAGACGGGCGGATCACGAGTCAGGAGATCGAGACCATCCTGGCTAACACGGTGAAACCCTGTCTCTACTAAAGAAATACAAAAAACTAGCCAGGCGAGATGGCGGGCGCCTGTAGTCCCAGCTACTCGGGAGGCTGAGGCAGGAGAGTGGTGTAAACCCGGGAGGCGGGCTTGCAGTGAGCTGAGATCCGCCACTGCACTCCAGCCTGGGGCCACAGAGCGAGACTCCATCTCAAAAAAAAAAAAAAAAAGATGCTGGCACAGTGACTCACGCCTGTAATCCCAGCACTTTGGGAGGCTGAGGTGGGCAGATCACCTGAGGTCAGGAGTTCAAGACCAGCCTGACCAACAGGGAGAAACTCCATCTCTACCAAAAATACAAAATTAGCCAGGTGTGGTGGTACATCCTGCAATCCCAGCTACTAGGGAGGCTGAGGCAGAAGAGTTGCTTGAAACCCGGGAGGCAGAGGTTGTGGTAAGCCAAGATTGTGCCATAGCACTCCAGCCTGGGCAACAAGAGGCAAAACTCCATCTCAAAAAAAAAAAAAAAAAAGATATACACTATATACACTACTGGTGGGGTGTTAACTTGTGAACTACTTTACGAAACAAATGTCATTATCTTTTAAAATTAAGGGTGAACACATACCATATGAGCCAGCAATTCCACCCTCAGGTACGTCCTAAGAAAAACTCCTTGCCACATGTACAAGAGAGACTTATGAAAATTGTTCAGAGCAGCACTGTTCATAATTGCAAAAAAAAAAAAAAAAAGGAACAAGCTTTCAAAGCACATCAATAGTAATGGATGACTGAACTGTGGTACATTTATACAAAGATTATAAAGCAGTCAAAGCAAATGAACTTCAGTGACAGGCAATAGGAAGGATTCTTAGTGATGTTAGCAGAAAAAAAAAAATCCCCAAAGAGTATATACAGCATGATAGACTTCATATAAAGTCAAAAAACAACTAAATAATATGGGATTGAGAGTGATGGTTACCATGGTTATTTGGAGTGATGGGTGGAGGAGGCAATAAGAGGGAATTGGGGGAAACATCTGGAGAGATGCAGGATATTAACAAGGTCCTAGCTTTATTAGGGATGCTGGCTTCCCAGGTGCTTAGAACATTAAGAAAGGTTAACTGAGTAACTAAAAGAGGGCTATGCACAGACAGATGTTGAGAGCCTTCCATGCACCAAGGATTCTATCTAATGATGTACACTTGAGGGTCAAGTACAACAAAGAAATAAACAAAAGTTGGGATGCTGCTCCACTGGGCCTTTGTTGTTCCCCTTACACAATCTACTTGATTTCCTGCTCAGCCAGACTCAGATCTGGTCTTGCCTTCTGTATGAAGCCTCCACTGCTTGTCCCACAGCTCTTCACCCACCTCTTGCCTGGGATGTCCTTTGTGCTGTCACAGCACCGTGAACACACTACTTCCACTGTCATCCTCCACACTGTCATGACCATTTGTCTGTGAGCCTGTCTTTCACCGACTGAGCTTCTGAGGCTCTGTGTCACGTGGACACAGAGTGATGGTTTTTGCCTGAATGCACCAAAGTGTCACTTCCCTCACCCCTAAGGACCTTATCCTGCCTTATCTATCTTGCCAAATCCTGACATGTTTCAGTCCCCAATTGAAACTGGCTCTTTTTGAGGAACTTAGTGAATTCTCAACCCTCTGTCCCTGCCCTTCCTCCTCTGGGCCTCCTCCTCTCCTCCCTGGACCAGTCTCCCTTCCTCCAGTTCCTTCTCCACACTGAGCACCAGAGATCTTTCCAAAGGGTACTCTCTCCAGGATTAAAACCCTCCTGTTGTCCTCAGTCTTCAAGATCAGTGCAGACTCCTTGGCTCTTTCCTGTGGGTCTGCTGCTGCCTGCCATGGTCCTCTCACCTACTCTGTAACTGCTGCCTCAGGGCCATTGAATATGCTGTGTGTCAGCTTCACTCGGGGGAAGCTCTTGACTCTGTACCCCAAAGACAGGGAGCCACTGCAGTGTGAACTCTGCTCCTAGATCATGTGTTACGCAAGTAGACCACACTCCTCACGCCTCTTAACCAGCTCAAGTTCCAGCACCTGACACAGGGCCTGGCACAGAATGGGTGGCATCTGTTGGAAGGAAGACAGGGACTCGTAGTTTTATATATATTTTATGAGACAAGGTCCCTTGTGACAGCTTTTGGATTGACACTCATTTTAAAAGATGTTTTATGTTTTCTTACCTGACCTGGCTATAATCTCCTTAAGGATAGCGTCTTGGAAGTGTGTGCTGGGCACAGTGCTAGCCCTGTAGCCTTTGCTGACTAAGGACAGGCTGATCACTGGGGGCCTATCAGAACCAATGTTGCTCCCTTGACTTAGAGCCGTCACTCACCGTGTTGAAGTACTCAACGCCGGTGGCTTCAAATGACCTCGCCACAGGTTGGGTTGTGGCCACACAGGCAACAGGGTGGCCATTGCCAATGGACTTGCCCATGGTGACGATGTCAGGGACAAAGTCTTTTCCCTGGAGCTGGAAGGCCCAGAAGTGCTTGCCTACTCGGCCAAAGCCAACCTGGATCTCATCTGCAACAAAGACCCCTCCGGCCTTGTGGATGTGCCTGTGGCAGAGGACAGATGACTGACATGGGGGCTGTGGCTGGGAGAGATAAGATCAGGAGTCAGGAGGTCTCGGGGCTTTGCATCCTGGCTCTGCCAGCAGTAAGGTGGGGACCTTGGGCAATGGCTGGCCCCCTTTGGGCCATTATTTCTTTAAGGGCTTTGTCTCAAAATTCTGGCAGTCAGGCCAGGCTGAGGTTGGGATTTGGACCGGACGTTGGAAAACCCCATAGAGCCCTGCCCTCCCTAGGGCAGACCCTGCCCACCTACTCACTCTGCCACTTGGGAGAAGTAGCCAGCAGGGGGAATGATCTGCCCTCCCACACTGGGCAGAGACTCAGCGAAGAAGGCTGCAATCTGTGAAGAGATGGACATTGGGGACACGACCATGGACGTGCGCAATGACCAGCTTAGCCTGCCCTGCTAGTGCTAGCTTAGTCCGAGCAAGACAAGTCACCATCATTGCTGCACCCCTACCTTGGGCTCCACGTTACATCTGAAGGTTTGTGACTCAGTTTTCTCTCAGGCCTCCGGCCAACTCTTACCACCTGGATGCCTCCAGGCCCCTAGTACTTGGCATGCTCCAAACTAAATGCACTGATTTTTCCCCCATAAGCCTGTTCCTTCCCTGTCCCCCATTCTTGATCCACGCCCCCTCCCTCAACCCATCAGTCAGCACGCCCAAGGATTCTACCTCAGCCCCCTCGCTAAACCTACTCCTTGCTCTCTGCCTGGACATGCCTGCCTCCTGCAGATCTGCCCATTTCTTCCTTGGACTCCTGCAGAGGCCTTCTAACTGAATGACTCTTCCAGTCCATCCTCCACGTGGCCACCAGGGTGATGATGCCTCAACCCAGAGAGCTGAGCATGTCACTGTTGTTTAAAACCCCTCAGAGACCCCTTCTGCATATGGCAATGATTTCCCAACTGTATTCTGCCTTACAGGTGGGAGGGCAGGGCAATGGGATGGGACACTAGTCCCCCACACCCGTTGCAATCAGAGCAATCTCCGTTTTTAGGTTTTATAGAAGTGGTCGTGGAGCACCTGAAACGCATAGGCAAGGCTTCCCTGGTCGGGTTCAGATAACCTTTCCGGCCCCACAGGCTGCCTTTCTTTGTCGTACCTCCTGTGTCTGGCTCTGTCGCTCCTTCAGTGAAGCCTTCAGAGAGCCCTCACCTGTCGCCAACAGTCTTCCCTCCGTTATCACCATGGGTAACACACCTCTCTCTCCGACATCTGCACCTCCACTCCATCTCCACTCTACTGCCCCTGTCAGGCCTCCCCACAGCTCACTTGGGGTCTACTGGCCACTTCGTGGTCACCTGACCTCAAGCTGCCCCATTCAGATCTATCCCCCACATAGCCCTGGAGTCGGAGAGCAGCGCCAGCCCCAGAGCTTAGCGCTCTCCCGCTTAAGACTCTGGTGGTTCCCGGGGGCCTCCAGGGCAGAACTGCAGCTGCTCAGCCTAGTTCTGGTGCCCTCTGGCATGTGGACCCTGCCTGCCTCTCCAGGCTCAGCTCCTGGCCACACATTCACACGGTTCCTCAGCCACCCGTCGGGATGCCCTTCCTCTGCTACTCCCCACCCCACCTGGAGTGGCTGACCCCTACTGTGTCAGGGAGCACCTCCTCCAAGGACCCCCCTTGACATTCCCCAAGGCCTGCTCAGCCTCTGGCTGCCTATCATGCCCATGCTAGTGCACTCAGACCCTCTGCTGAGCCCGAACTGCCCCTACCCCAGATTCCTGGAGGGCAGGGCCTCGTTTGGTTTTCTCTCTGGGTTCCCAGCATCTAGCACAGTGGTGGTGACAACAATGGAGGTGACATTAACTGTTCGCTGGATTGGACAGGCGCGGACAGAGTTACCTTCCTGCCCTTCTCCTGTGCACTGCTGACCACACGTTTCACCTCGTTGGCATAGGCCACAGCTGGGTTGGGGTGGTCCTCCCGGTAGGGGCCCCGGTAGGTGTCTGGGAGAGGTGCCTGTGGGGAGTGACAGCACCACGTTATCTGGGCTTGGGGACAGGCACCGACCTGTTGTTCAGTTGGGCAGTGCATACCACGTGGACCCACTCCTTCTGGCCATCCAGGTTGCGGAACTTGTAGGGACTGATGTCAATCAGGGAGCTCAGGTGGCCGTGATACGCACTGGGGAGGAGAAGGGAGGGTAGGCTCGGGTCCGGGCAGCTCCTACTCCCTGGCCCAGTCTGACCATGGTCTCCCCACCCTTGAAGACACACAGGGGAGGCCAACTTTCCTGAGAGAGCCCCCAGGTTCTTGGGAACTTGGGAAAGAGCACAGGCTTTGGAGTCAGCAACACTTCTTGCAAGACTGCTGACTGGCTATGTGACAGCAGCTCATCATTTAACCTCTTGGGGTTGTTTTCTCTGCTGTAAAATGGGGTGGAAGTTCCTCTTTCTGGTTTATAATGAATCTTAAATGTGTTGATACTGTCAGCCTCAGCTTTGTGCACATCACACACTCAATTCATGGGAGCTACTGCTGTGGCAGTTTGAACATGCAAAATGTTGTGGGACCACCTTTGACTCCCTTACAAAGCGCACTCTGCTCCCCAGAGCTGCCTTCCCAGAATGGTGGCCCAGGGTGACAGAGCCTCCGGGAGGTCTCAGGCCTGGTCCTCTGCCTGCCACGCTTGTCTTCAGTAGCCCAGGCCCCTTATCCTCCCTGCCTAAGGCACCCGGAGTGAGTCGCACAGATCCCCAAGCAGCCTGTGGGCCACGCTTCTGGAAATGGTAGGGCTGTGAGTTGCACTTACTGGTCTAATACCACCACGTCCTGGTGTCCCGTGTAGTGGCGAGCCAGCCTCAGGGCCAGGTCATTGGCTTCTGACCTATGACCGAAAAGGTGGGCATGACTGAGACAGTGGTCCAAGAGCTTCCCAGAGAGAAATGCTGAGGGCAAGAGGACCCTTCCAGCAGCAAGAAGATTCTCAGGACATCAACTAGTCAGTCACTTGCTTATTTGTTTGGTATACATCAAATGCCTCGTATGTACTAGAAGCTGGGGGCAAAAAGAGTAGGTAAAACAGGCCAGGGGCGGTGGCTCATGCCTATAATCCCAGCACTTTGGGAGGCCGAGGTGGGCGGATCACGAGGTCAGGAGATGGAGACAATCCTGCTAACATGGTGAAACCCCGTCTCTGCTAAAAATACAAAAAACTAATGGGGCGTGGTGGCGGGCGCCTGTAGTCCCAGCTACTCAGGAGGCTGAGGCAGGAGAATGGCGTGAACCCGGGAGGCGGAGCTTGCAGTGAGCTGAGATCATGCCACTGCACTCCAGCCTGGGCAGCAGAGTGAGACACCGTCCCAAAAAAAAAAGGTAAAACACACACGGCCTTGGCTCTCCTGGAATTTACATTCTCGTATGTGTCATGAAACTTGTTTGGAAAAAACTCAAACCATTGTTTTTCCTCTGCTTTCACACTACAACAATCAACACAGAAGACTTCTGTGACTCCAAAAAATATGTAAGGATTTCTCCCTGCCAGCAGGCAAGCAATCAGATTGCAGCAACACCAGCTGGGTGTCCTCCAGTTCAATTCCAACACTCTCTACGTGGAGGCAGCATCAGATCCCACAGCATGAGGGCTCAGTGTCCAAGACTGCCCCACAGCCCCCTGGGCACCAGTAGCAAGTCGGCCTCTGGAACTAATTTTCTTTTTTTGTAGAGATGGGGTCTCACTATATTGCCCAGACTAGGGGCTCAAGCATTCCTCTCACCTCAACCTCAAAGTACTGGAATTACAGGCATGAGCCACCGTGGTGGCCACCTTTGGAACTTTTTTTTTTGAGACAGAGTCTCACTCTGTTGCCCGGTCTAGAGTGCAGCGGCTGATGTTGGCTCATTGCAGCCTCTGCCTCCCAGGCTCATGGGATTCTCCTGCCTCAGCCTCCTGAGTAGCTGGGATTACAGGCGCCCACCACTACGCCCAGTTGACTTTTTGTATTTTTAGTAGAGATGGGGTTTCACCATGTTGGCTAGGCTGGTCTCACACTCCTAATTCTCCTGCCTCGGCTTCCCAAAGTGCTGGGATTACGGGCGGGAGCCACCGCACCCAGCCCCTCTTTGGAACTTCTGACCGACTGGCTTCAAGTTGAGGTTCCCACAATTCCCTCTGTAGGTTCAATTAATTTGCTGCAGTGGCTCACAAAACTAAGGGAAATACATTTACTGGTTTGTTATAAAGGATACTATAAAAGATACAGATGAAGAGATGCATGGGGGAGATATGGAGGAAGGGCATGGAGCTGCCCGTGCCCGCCCTGGGCGCACCACCCTTCAGGAACCTGTGTATGTTCAGCTATCTGGAAGCTCTCTGAATCCAGTCCCCTTAGTTTTTATGGAAGCTTCATGACAGCAGCATTCCTTCTCCCAGGACATGGGGTAGGACCCTCTCTGGAATGAGAGTTTTATGACCCACCATCAGAAAGGTGGGGAAGATTAGAGTCCCGCCTTGGGCAGGTGAAAGGAAGGCAGGAGAAGGTTAGAGTGATTGTCTTCTGAGGCCTGACATCCAATGTTGTAACAAAAGAGTGTAACAAGGGCTGTGGGAGTTATGAGCCAGGAACTGTGAATAAAAATGAATGTGTGTATATGTATATATGTGTGTCTATTTATATATATATGTGTGTACACATATATATACCACCACAAAAGCCAAAAAAGAAAAAGTGATCCTTTTTCTAAGTGCTATGATGGATGCTCTGGGAGAAAGCCAGAGGGAGCATGTTTACGGGCTGAGCTGCCACCCCCCACCCCCAATTTGTGTGTTGAACCTCTAATCCCCAGTAGCTCAGAATGGCCTGTATGTGAATAGATATGGAGATAAGAGAGGTGATTCCGTTAAAATGAGGCTGTCAGGGGGCCCCTAATCCAATCTAACCAGTGTTCTTACAAGAGGAAATCTGGACAAAGAGACACCAGGGACACTTACACACAAGACCAACCAGGGCCATCTCCAAGCCAAGGAGAGAGGCCTTAGAAGAAACCAACCCTGCCGACACCTTGATCTTAGACTTCCAGCCTCCAGGACTGTGAGAAAATAAATGTCTCTTGTTTAAGCCACTCAGTCTCTGTTATTTTCTTATGGCAGCCAGAGTAGACCAACATAGAGGGTCAGTGGAAGCGTCTATGGGGAGGTAACTCGTGTACTGAGTCCTGAGGGAGAAGTTTCCAGACAGATGGAGCAGCACGCACCAAGGCCTTGTGAAGGAAAAGAGCTCAGTATGCTCAGGGAACCAGGAGATGATGATGGAGGCCAGCGCCTAAGGAGGGCAGGGTAGGAGAGGGAGCGGGGAGACATGCAGGGGCCAGGTGCACAGGGCTGGGAAGGAGCCTGAGTTTTCTTCTCAGTGCCATGTGAAGCCACTGAAGAGTTTTAATGAGAAAAGGAACATGAGTCAGCTCCCATTTTAAGAGGTGGCCTCTGGCTGTGTCTAATGGAGTCGACAAGAATAAAAGTGGAAATGAGAAGACCAAGGAGGAGGATGCCAGGTGAGAGCAGGTGGTGACCATGGAGATGGAGAGGCGGAGGGAGTTAAGAGGCATCATGGAGATGGAGGAGGCAGGATTGATGCAGGACTGGGGAGCATGTGGTTTCTGCCTTAAGCAGATACAGGTGGTGATGCCCTTTACAAGGCAAGATGAGCAGGGGTGAGTGGGGACAGTCTTCTTGGGCAGGTTAGGGAGAACAGTACCACGGTCCAATCAACCCTTTCTTGCCTTGTGGACACATGAAGCTGGAGATGTTTGTCAGATGTCACAGGCGCAGTTAGAACCTCAAGTTGGAACATATGCGAAATGTCTGGGCTCAAAAAAGTTTGCGAGTCACCAGCACATGGATGCTATTTAATACCAAGAGAATGGAAGAGATCACCTGAGGAGAGGGCGCAGAGAAAAGTGGCCCAAGCCCAGCCCCAAGGAACAGAGGAGGAATCAGCCAAGAAGACAGGGAAGGAGTGGCTAGAGAAACTGGCAGAAAACAGGAGAGCACAACGCCCTGGAAGCAAGAGGAGACAGCACTTCTGGAGAGTGGTAACTGTCAATTACTGCCGGGACAGAGTAAGACGAGGCAGCAAAGAGACTGCTTTGGATTTGGCAACATGGAAGTCACTGGAATCCACACAGAATAAAGCTGGTGGCATAAGAATGCCCCTCCTCCACCACCACTGAGGAAGCACCAGCTCCCTGCTGTTTCCAGAGGCTCCAGCTCTTGACATGGGAAATGTCTGGGCTCAAGTTCCTTTGAATTGCTATTACCCCATCTGCAAAATGAAGATGGTGAATTCCACTTCCTAGAAATTATGTGGGGGGCAGAGATGACTGTACTATGTGAATGGCAACAATAATCATTACTATAATTCAACGCCACCACCTACGATTCGTTGGAATGTTCTCTCCCAGATACGCTGTAATCACCTGCCTGTTTGTCTCCACTGCTGATCCTAGTGTGAGCTACCATAACCTTTCACCTGGCCACTGAACTGGCACCTAACAGTGTCCACTCTTGCGCTCTGTTCCCTGTAAGACATCATTTCCTGATTAAAGCCTCCGATGGCTTCCCAATGCTCTTAGGATAAAGACAGTCACTTGGCGGAGAAGGCCCTAGGTGATGGGCCCTACTTCCCTCCCAACAGCTCACAGCCTCTGCTTTCCCTTAGTGGACTTCTTTCGGTTCCTCAAGTGTGCTGGGTACCATACCCTTTCCTGCCTCAGGGCCTTTGCATGGGTAGTTGTGTGTGGTGACCAACTTTGACAAGAGTTTTGCCGAGACTAATTTTTTTTTTTTTTTTTTTTTGAGATAGAGCCTCACTCTGTCTCCCAGGCTGGAGTGCAGTGGCACAATTTTGGCTCACTGCAAGCTCCGCCTCCCAGATTTAAGCGATTCTCCTGCCTTAGCCTCCTGAGTAGCTGAGATTACAGGCACCCATCACCACGCCCAGCTAATTTCTGTGTATTTTTAGTAGAGATGGGGTTTCACCACATTGGCCAGGCTGATCTCAAACTCCTGACCTCAGGTGATCTGCCCACCTCGATCTCACGAAGTGCTGGGATTACAGGCATGAGCCATCGCGCCCGGCCTTGATGAGACTTCTGATGCAGTGGCAGCACCCTTCCTTCCTCCTCTTCTAGTTCTCTCCCAGTCAGCTCTTAGCTTAACATCCCTTCCTCAGGGAAGGTTTCCCTGTACCCCCAGAATAGGTCAGGTCCCCTCACTATTTCTAGGCCTCATGATACCCTGTACGCTTCCTCCAGAGCCCTCCTTGGAATTCTGTATTTCTTTGAAGAATCACTTGGTGTTTTTGTTCCTTACTGAGCAACCCACAGACAGGGATTTTGGCTGTATCCATAAGGCAGAAATAAAGAAATGTATTACCTCACTAAGCCCCAGCAATGATCCTAGAAAGGAATTAATAACATCCTTCAGTAAGAGACAAGGAAACTGGATCCAACAGAAAAAGCATCAGGGCCTAGAGCCGGGAATCTCAGGAGCCTGGTGCAATGGGGGCTGCCTCTCCCTGAGTCCACACTCGGTCGGCTACACTACACCGGGCCCATGTGAGCAACTCTCTTTGTTATCATCTCACCCTCTTCCCGGGGGCTGGCCATAGTCACTTACCCGGAATTCAGGAAATAGAACACACAGAGCGGCTCTGGCAGGGTCTCCGACAGCCTCTGCGCATAGTCCACAATGTTGTCGTGCAGGTACCGGCTGTTGGTGTTGAGCACCTGGTTCTGTTCATGTGCTGCTCGGACCACGACAGGGTGGCAGTGCCCGACTGGAAGAAGGCCACCTCCATCACACAGCTGGCTCCGCTCAGCCAGTCCCACTGGGCCTCCCCCAGCCCCAAGCTATAAACCCAGCCAGAAGAGACGCAGTTCTAGAGAGAGAGGTAGAAAGAGGGGAGTCTGAAGGCAGAGCAGGGAGAGAGAAGCTAGTTCTGGAAAGGCAGATCCAGGAGTTCCTGAGATTCTGGCAGAAGGAAATGTTCTTCAGCAGAAGAACCCTGTCTAGAGAGCCCATGTCTTTTTTTTTTTTGAGAGTCTCGCTCTGGCTCGCCCAGGCTGGAGTTGCAGTGGCGGACTCGGCTCACCATGCAAGCTCCACCATCCTGGGTTCCATGCCATTCCTCCCTGCGAGCCGTCCCCGAGGCTGGACTACAGGCGTCCCGGCCACCACGGCCCGGCTCCATTTTTTGTATTTTTAGTAGAGATGGGTTTCCAACTGGTGAGCAGGATGGTGCTCCATCGCCTGACCTCAGGTCAGCCAAGCCCGCTTGGCCCTCCCAAAGGCGGGATTACAGGCGTGAGCCACTGCTGCCTGGCCTAGAACCCATGTCTAAGGAGGCCTTTTTTTTGTTTTGAGATAGGACCTTAGCTGTCACCCAGCGGGAGTGAGTGGTGTGATCATGGCATTCCACGTCAGCCTCAAACTCCTGGGCTCAAGTGACCTCCCACCTCAACCTCCTGAGTAGCGTGGGACTAAGACACCAGTCACCATGCCTAGCAATGTTTAAGTTTTTTTATAGAGACAAGGTCCATTATGGTTCCCAGGCTGTAAGGCCTTTTGGAGCTGCATGACAAAGGTGGGGTAGGGAGTGACGTCAACTTTTTCACTTCCACAGCCAAGGGGGCTGGTGGTAATCGGCTGCCAAAGGCCAAGGATAGTAAAGTGAGGTATGGACTGAGAGCTCACCATGTGCCAGGCACATTCAGAGCAAGCTACATACATTAACACATTGAATTCTCCTAATACCTTCAAGTGGCTACCTAGTAGCATTATGTCTTTTGCAGATAAGCAAACGGAGGCACAGAGAATTAAGTAACTTGCCTGAGATCACAAAGTTAGTAAGTAGGGGATTTGAGCCCAAGCAGTCTAAGACTAGAGTCTCTGCTTTTTTTTTTTTTTTTTTAAATCTCGACTTTATTAATCTTCCATGTCCCTGCTGAGTCTCACACTCCCTTTCTTTCCGTCAGCTCTGGCAGCCTCATCAGGAGGACTGAATTCCTGCTTCAGCTCCCTTGCCCAGCACCTGAGATGGCCAGTGAGGCTGAAGCGCCGCCTTGACCCCAGCACTTGGCCAGCACTGTGCTACGCCGCTGGTCACAGCTGGGCCATCTGCCACTCTGTGAGCTCATCATCAGTCCCAAGTGGAACTAGACCCACAGACCTAGATTGCTGACTCCTGCCTGGTTTAGCACAGCTCCAGACTGCAGAATTCCACAGCTATATTGCAAAGGCTGAGCCTCCTCTGCATATTGATGATGCCTCAATTCAACCCAGGTTCTCCACACCTCTCGGTAATCTCAGGCAATCTCAGGTCATCTTGGGACCAGGCTCACAGCCTTGGCCTCCTCTCCTGCCCTGCCAAGCTGAGGTATGATACTGACCGTGAGCCACATTGTTGATGCAGTCGATGTATTCTGCCCCTTGTTCATCGTACATGTACTGCCCTTGGGCCCGGACAATCTTAACAGGATCCTCGGGAAAAAAGAGTCTGCAGGAAGAGCTGTGGGGACAGGCAAGGAGTGGACAGCCGTGTCTGAAGACCGAAAGGGTGAAGTCCACTCATCACAGGCCCCCGCCCACCCCTTCCCAGTTTCTGGGGAAAAAAACGAAAGCTTGAAGGGCAAGGTGCTGCTTCCCTGCCTTGTCTCCTCACTCCACAGGTGGCTGTAAAGGAGGAAGCAGATGGGGTACCAAGTTGCGGAAACTTAGAATTGTTTCTTAAAGCATTTTAAGTCTCTGTGTCCTCCTGGCTCATTTCTGTATGTGGTCACGTCAGTCCCCTGGATCCTGAGAAAAGGTGGCTGCCCCGGCCCACGGGGCTCCGGGCTGCGTGTCCTCCTTGGGATGGGGCAGGGCACCAACATTAGGTGGCTGGCTCTCAGCCCTAAACGCTCCTTGCCAGCCACGTGGTCCTGCTGCCCCTCGCTGGGTGCCAGCCCTAAGCTCCAGTGGGAGGCTACCTCACCCACCTTCCCACCGAGGGCCCGTCACAGGTCAAGTATGCTGCCTGTGAACCGACTCCCCCGACTCTCCCTTCGTCTGCGCTTCCAGCCCCCTCCCAGGTCACTCTGGAGACAGGCCCGCGTGCGGCTGACGGGCCACCCTGGGTGAGGTCCTCCTAGGTGCCAGGGTGAAGGTCTTTTCCGGGGTAAAGGCTGCCAAGCGAGGCTGCCACAGACTGGACAGCAGTGACGGCGGGGCCGTCTCCCGAACGGGGCGGCCTGGAGACGGCGCTGTCGGGGAGGAGCCCCCGGAGACCACCCACCGGGACGGCCCAGCGCCGCCGCCTTCCCGGCCCTGCGAAACTCCCCTGTGGCCGGGTCCGGGGTCGCACGGGCTGGAGAGCGGCGGCCTCCTAGTCGGAGGCGCGTGCGTCGTGCGTGCGTGCGTCGTGCGTGCGCGTGCCACCCCGCGCAACCCCGCGGCACCCGCCGCACACCCGCGTACCTGATGAGCCGCTGCCTCAGGGCCAGGGTGTCGGCCTTCGAGCGCCGGTCTGCGGCCATGGCGGGTGGCTGTCAGTGGTTGTCGAGACGCCACTCGGAGACGTCGCCGCGCGGGCTGGTCCTCCAAGGCCCCGCCCCGGGCCCCGCCCCTGCCTGGGTCGGGATTTGGGGCTCGGGTTCGCGCTCGGGCCCCGCCCCCAAGCGCCCGTGTAGCGGTGGTTGATTCTTCGCTTGCCCACTGAGCCTGGCAGCCTTCTGGCCCGTGGTCGTGCCTTGGCAGTCCCGCGCAGGAACTCGAGCGCTGCCCCGTCTCTGGTTCCGGGACGGGCCGCAGGCCTGGTCCTGCAGCCTCCCGCGGCTTCCCTTCCGGGAAAGGGGCCCGGACGACCCCGCCCCTGCTCCTGGGGCCTAGGCGGGGCTCGGAGCTACTGCACGCCTCCTTGGGCCGGACTCAGCCTTTGAGTCAGCTTGTGCATAAAATGGGATCAGCTGTGAGGCCTAAGTGCGAGTATGTGACTGGTAGTTCACCCGGGGCCTGGTACACAGTAGGGGCCTCAGGGTGGGAGAAGCAGGTCCTAGGTTCTCCCAGCCCCGTGAGGGGGCAGCAGGAAGGGCAGAAGGAGAGCCCAGGGTCCCTTCTGGGGCTGACCGAGGAGATCACCGTGGGCTTGACCTTCAGGGCACCATGGTTCCTTCTAGAATCCAGGCAGGGTGAACTGGACGAGCTGTATCAACGCTAAGAGAATCATGCGGTGTTTGGGCAAGAAGAGAGGTTGGGAAGCCTCCTTGTGGTACATGTGCATGACTCGGAAACCCGGAAAGGGAAAGGGTTTTGTTGTCAGACACGCAGCAAGGCTGCAGAGCTGGACTCCTACTGAGGACGTCTTGACTCCCAGCCCAGGGAGTGAAGAAAAAGCGTCCCAAGGGGCTGGGATGTGAGAGAAGCCCCCTCCTGGGGTGGGGCACTGGAGCTTTCTACCTTGAAGAGCCCTGGAACACGGGCCTGGGACTGCAGCCGGTGTGGGCTGGGGCAGGGGAGGCTCCTGATTGTCCCTCCTTTTCTGTCCACATCTTCATGACTCCCAGGCCTCTGCTTCACTCCCTCATTGCTCATTTCTTCTCTTCCCAATACGGTTGTAAGATGCTTACGGAATTTATTTATTTTTTAAATTTTACTGAACTCCTGACCTCAGATGATCCGCCTGCCTTGGCCTCCCAAAGTGCTGGGATTACAGGCTTGAGCCACCGCGCCCGGCCGGAGTTTCTTATTTTTAACTGTAAAGTTGAATTGAATATTTTACATGATTTTTGGAAAACATTCTTCCCAAATTAACTGAGAGGTTAACTGCTTGTGGTCTGTATTTTTTTTTTTTTTTTTTTTTAAACAGGGTCTCACTCTGTTGTTCAGGCTGGAGTGCAGTATTGCAATCTCTACCTCCCTGGGCTCATGTGATCCTCCCATCTCAGCCTCCCAAGTACCTGCTACTACAGGTGCACGCCACCATGCCCAGCCTGTACTTCGTTTCTGAGGATCAAGGCCTCACAGACCCTGTGTGTGTGAGTGGGACCGTGGTCACTGTTTTCTTAGTGGATTGGCTCCTCCTCATTAGTAGAGAGACCTATGATGCCTCCATGCCCTGCAGTTCCAGCTTTTAAAGTAGTGTGTGTGTGTGTGTGTGTGTGTGTGTATGTGAGTCCTATTGGGGTCCACCTTTCAGCCCTGTCTTGCAGCTCAAACTCCAGCCACAACTGTGGCCTCGTGCAGCTCAGACAAATCAGGTTGGCTCAGGGGCTTTTCCTACTTTAAGGCAGAGGGTGAGAAGGCTGTAGCTGGGCCCAGCTAACATCTCACCTGCTCCTGGGTCAAGAGGTGATACAGTTGGAGGTCAGACCAGGCTGAGCCATTTCCTGGGCCAGGAGTATCTTATAGCATGGCACAGGACAGCACCAGGAGGCCTCACCTTCTTCCTGCTCAGAAAAGCCCACTCCTTGACTCTGGCCCCGTGGCAAGCAATCATCTGTCCTTTATCTCATGCCTGGCCCTCTAGGCAATGTTGGAGACCAAGAGGGTAGGGGATGGAAGTGGCTGAGCCAGGATTTGAACCCAGGGCATGGCGTTTCTCAGCAGGGTTGGCACCAGCATTCTTGTTGAGATGATTTGTCATTGGGTAAGCTGGTCCTTTCATTTTAGGTGTTTGCTATCCCTGGCCCTGCCCCCTGAATGCCAGGGTGTCCTGCAATCATTGTGATGACCAAAAGCATCCCATGTATTTCTAGTGGTCTCCTAGGGACCAGGAGGAGAGAGACCTGGGTAAGTCCACTTCAGATTCAGCTATAAAAAGGGATATTATCCTTGTGGTTAGTTTAGCTGTCATGGGACACAGCAGGACTCAGTAAATGTACTTCTCTCTCTTCCAGAAAGGGGTACTTTGAGGCTCTACTGCCTTTCTTGGCAGGAGGCCTGAGGCCCCCCAGCCCTTGAGGCTCAGCTGTGAAGCAGGGTGCTGCTCCTCAGTGTCTCAGCTGGAACCTCGAACAAATCATTGATTCCTCTACCGCCTCTGTGCTCACCCTGCGAGCTTTGAGGACTCAGCAGACTCTAAATGTTTAAGCTTGCAGCTGACAAGTTTACAGGCATTAGGATACAAGGTATGAGACCGCAAGGGGGCAGCAGTGAGCCAAAAATGCCCCATCCTGCCCAAAGGAGCAGGAAACACCCCTCAGAAGACTGGGGAAGTAGGGGAACACATGGCTTCTACCCCCACAAGGATCTACCTGCCAACCACCCAGCCTCATGGAGCTGCCTATCAGATTCTATGCTCTGCCAGACAAGCTTCGGGAGGACAAATTAGAGGACAAACCCAAGAGCCTAGGTGCAGTCCCAAGCCTGCCACTATGTCCTGGCTGTGCATCCTTGGCCAGGTGATTACCCTCTCTGAGCCTCAGTTTTTCCCTATGTAAAATGGAAATAGCGACACCTATCACACAAGCCCTGGGCTTCGCAGGGCTGGCGAGGGGATCAAGTGAGGTTCCTGGATGGAGGGAGGAGGGAACTGTGAAGTGTAGCATGCAGATGGTGAGGTTACAACGCTGGAACTCCAGAGGAGGCGTGGACACTCAGTGACCTCCATCCATCATCACAGCCCCACTGTGTTTCTCTTCCTTCTCCTACTACTGGCTTCCCTGTTGACTCAGACAACTGGCTGAGTGATGTGGCCTGCCACTTATTGCCAGTTCCTTAGGGAGACAGAGGAGGGGACTGGATATATCCCTCCCTCCTTAGCCAGTGTGTGGCCGAGCCTCTTCTGCTTAGCAAGGCCATGTCACAGAAGTCTGAGGGGGACCGCCCATACTGTGGCCTGCCCTAGGCCTCAGTCCTTGGAGACTCAGACACCGTCAGTGCAATGCACCAGCACTGTCAGAGACACCATCACTGCAGGCCCTTCTTTTTTTTTTTTTTTGAGACGGAGTTTCGCTCTTGTTGCCCAGGCTGGAGGGCAATGGTGCGATCTCAGCTCACTACACCTCTGCCTCCCGGTTTCAAGCGATTCTTCTGCCTCAGCCTCCTGAGTAGCTGGGATTACAGGCGTGAGCCACCACGCCCGCCTAATTTCATGTTTTTAGTAGAGACGGGGTTTTTCCATGTTGGTCAGGCTGGTCTCGAACTCCCGACCTCAGGTGATCCGCCTGCCTCAGCCTCCTGAAGTGTTGGGATTACAGGCGTGAGCCACCACACCCAGCCCATGGCCCTTCTGGTCTAGGCCACCCTGGGTTTGCTTGGTTTTGTCATCTGTAAGAGGGTCTCTCTCTTAGGGTTGTTATAGGGACCAGCTGTGGTGAGAAGTGGGAACACTTTGCAGGACTGTGGCCCTTGCTCAGCAGCCTTGGAGTCAGGAGAGATGAAAATCAGAACCGAGTGTGCTTCTGGGTGAGGGACACACCCTACATTCTTCGCATACTTTGCACTGGATCCTCACAGAACCACAATCTGAATGCTAAGCAGTGCCCTGTCATTTCACAGCTGAGGTGGCACTTTGCATTTTTTCAGAGGGGGCTGCAACAAGATCTACAATTCCACATTTTCTCCTTGAAATATGATGTTGACACTTTCCCGTGGAGAGGTGGGGTCTAATTCTCCTCCCTCCAGTCTTTCAGAAAGTGACACCACGTGACTTCTGAGACTTGGTCCTAAAGGGTGACACAGCTTCCAACTGGCTGACCTGGGACAGTCACTTTTGGAATCCAGCCACCATGTGGGAGGCAGCCTGGGTCACATGGAGAGGCCACAAATAAGTATTTGCCATCTGAGGTCCCTGCTATAGCCAGCAGCAACCACCATGTGAGAGTTTGAGTGAGAAGCACCCACACTGAGCTCATTAACCACAGACTGTACAAGAGAAATTGAATTTCTTTTTTTTTTTTTAAAGAGAGGAATTTCTCTGCGTTGCTCAGGCTGATCTTTAACTTCTGGGCTCAGGCAGTTCTCTCGCTTCAGCCTGCCCAGCAGCTAGGACCACAGGCATACATTAACCCAGCCTACCAGCGTTAATTCTTTACTTTTGGTAGAGATGGAGTTTCAGTATGCTGCCAGCCCGGTCTCGAACTCCTGGGCTCAAGTGATTCTCCCATCTTGCCCTCCCAAAGTATTGGGATTAAAAGCATGAGCTGCTGTATTTGGCCAAAATGACCATTGTTTTAAGGCAACAAGCTTTGGAGAGATTTGTTATGCAGCAGTCTGGTAACCGCAATAGAGGAGCACACAGGGGCTCAGTTTGACAGGTAGCGACTTGCTAGAAGACTCAGCTGATGTGTGGCAGGACCAGGCGATGAATCTGTCTTCCGAACTCCAAATCCCATCTTTGCCCTCACCCTGAACTTCCTCCTTTGGTTTCTGGGATGGCTGTTACTCAGGGAGAGTCCCTTTTCCCTCCCCACCCATCAGTGGCCAGGATGAAACCACAGCCAGAGGTGCCCCAGGGACAGTCCGCAAGGACAAGCACACCCAGACACACACTTGTGGTTTATTACACACAGTGATCTCCATCTACACAGAAATGGAAGGCAAGCAGCCAGGATGGAGCTGGCTGCTGGGAACACTTGCTGGAGGTGGAAACGCCTCTCGTCAGAGCGTGGGTGGGTCTGGTGGCAGGCCCTTTGCTCAGGACAGCTGCGAACCAGCCTGAGGTTTGCTTTGCCTGCACAGCCCACCTAGAGAGCCATTTTTGGCCAGAGTTCTGGGTGACAGACCTGGGGCCAGTGAGACCCAGACTCTGAGTGGGAGGCCTGCCTCCCTGGGCCAGGCCATGTCCCATCTCGTCTCTCTCTGGATGATATGGAAACAGACACAGGAAGGAGCAGTCAGTCCAGCCTGGGCCCCTCCCTCCCCGACACTCTGCCCCCTGGAGCTGGGTCCACATCACAGCGATCACAGCTCAGCCACTGCTTCGGGCCAGAGGACATGTGTTCTCAGGGCAGGCTGGCCTCCCGAGGCCGACTGAATGCAGTAGGAGCTAGACCCTCTTGGGGGATTTTCACTCCCTGCTCCCCGGGCCCAGCTGCAAGTGCTGGGCGAGTCTTGTCCAACTGTAGAGGCAGCTGGTTGTGGTTGAGTTGGGAGGCTGGTGAGGCCGGGAGCAGCAGCCGCTGTTCCACCCCTGGGTCTTCTTGGACAGGGGGTGTCCCAGGGACTCCAGAGTGTTTGGGGGCAGGTTCTTACACAGCTCAGAGTCTCTCTGCTCATCAGGTGACTGAAGGCCCAACGTAGCATCTTTCTAGCCTTGCCCGAGCCAGGTGCTTCTACCGTCATCTCCTTCCTGGGAAAGCCCAGGGCCGAGGGTGCCCCTCAGGTATACACCTCCTGGGTCTGGCCTGTCCACTTTCCAGCAGCTCCACACGCCAGTGGCTCTGGGGCTGGGTGGGCACACTCTCGAATGTTAAAAGGCCACAGGTAGCGCATTCCGTGAAAAAAGATCAATATATTACTGTTTTGTTTTTACAAAAATTAAAAATGTCCACACAGATCCGTACAGGTGTGAGCTGGGCCTGTGGGTCACTGGAAGAGGAGGAAGAGACTGAAGGTGATGAGGAGCCCGAGAGGCCCCGCCCCCATCCAGGCCACCTTGCTCTGGCATCCCCCATCCTGCTCATTTCCTCGGGAACAGGTGCAGACCCCTCCTCTCTTCCCTCCCCACCACTCCCTCTCCGTGGGCCTATTTGGACAATGTCCTAGGAGGCACTGATGGCTTTGCTCTGCCTGGGCCAGGTGTCAGTTGAGTCCATGTGACCCACAGGGTGGGCTGCACACCATCACCTAGGGCCACAGTCCCACGCCTCAGCTGCAAGACGGGAGAGTCAAAACCAGGGTCACGATGGGGAACTTGGCTCTTCAGTCACTGTGCGGGAAGCCACAGGCACCCAGAGGTTTGAGTGACAGCACCCAGGCTCCAGGGCCCTCCCCACTCCGCCACCCTCCCCTGCCTCCCCTGAGCCTGCCCTGGAGACTCTTCCCTGCAAGGTACCTTATGCCAGCAGCCAGGCACAGGCAGCCCGTCGGGGCCCTGGAAAGGAAGAAGGTTTCAGTGATGGGAATGGGGCCTGGGGAGCTCCTCTACACCCCACGTACCCTCCCCTGGTCTGTAGGGAGGTAGGGTCAGGGAGCTGCCATGTGAGGCTGCTGGGCTCCACTGAGGCAGGGCCACAATGCCTCCTCTGTCCACCCAGGTAGTGAGGTCCTGAGGACATGACGGCCTCTGACTGAGCTTGTCCTGTGTTCCCTCTGTGCTCTGTGGGGACTGCTGTGCAGTGGGCACGAACAGGAGGGCACTAGGAAGGGATGGGCATTGTGCCAGGCATGCACAGGCTGGTCTGGGTCCTGCCAAGAGCTGTGTGGCTTCCTGCCTGATGTGACAGTGACTCTGGCTCCTCACCCTGGGGCCTGCGAGCTTTCAGGCCTTGGGCAGGAGTGGCTCCTGGAAGGTTTTAAGGATCGCCCAGGAGTTGGCATCCTGCTTCAGCCTGTGCTGGCCCTGCACAGGGCAGGCTCAGGCTGTTGGGGGTTGGGGCTGGGCGGGGGGTGGGGCTGTCTAGTGGTACCTGTGGTGCCCACTTAGCAGCCAGACATAAGCAGGGTCTGGGTTTCCTCAGGCAGCCTGAAGGGTGGGGAAACTGGAGAGGAATAAAGGCTAACTCATCAGGGACACCAAGGCACAAAACATGTCATTCTGTTCCAAAGCACAGGCATGAGCCTCAGACCCTGGGCATCCCCTGGAATATTCTCATGTGTACACCAGGGGACCAGGCTGGGGACCAAAGGGAAGGTGAGGAGGAGGGCAGAATGGAAAGGAAGGCAGAAGCGAGGAAGGCCGGGGCCCTGGCTGCCCCAAAGGCCCACACAGCACACGGCACACGGCACACAGCAGGCCAGACCGCCTACCGCAGGGCATGGCCCATTGCCCCTCGCAGGGCCCCGCCAGCCTGGTGCCCCTCTCCGGCCTCCGCAGGTGGGATTCTCCTGTTTCAAAGGAGACAGGGGCTTACTGACTTGGAGGGGAGTCCTGGGCCAGGGGCGGGAGCTGCAGGGCTGGGCCACCCTGCCCCTGCTGTCCCTGCACTTACCTCTTCAAGTCCTTTTCTGACTTCTCAAAACTGTCCAAGGGGAGGGGTACCCCCCACTGCAGGGACGAGGACACTGAGGAACAGAGGCCAGAGGTCTGGGAGGGGGTCTGTAACTCTGGCACCACTGGAGGTTGAGGCTGGCCTGCACACATCCCCGCGGAAGGCCCCCTCCCCATTCCCGTGGCTGGAGTGCAAGGTAGGAGTGTCTGTCCGCTTGTAGTATGAAAACCCAGCTGGCTTGTTTTTCCTGGCTTTTCTGAGCGCCACTGGAAGAGTGTGACAGGTAAACCCTCCCGACTTTCTAGAAAAAGGGAACTAGGCAGGGCACAGTGGCTCACACCTATCGTCCCAGCACTCTGGGAGGCCAAGGTGGGGCAATCGCTTGAGCCCAGGAATTCAAGACCAGCCTGGACAACATTGCAAGACCCCAGTACTACAAAAATTAAAAATTAGCTGGGCATGGTGCTGCATGCCTGTAGTTTTGGCTACTCGGGAAGCTGAGGCAGGAGGATCACTTGAGCGTGGGAGATTGAGGCTGCAGTGAGCCATGATCGCACCACTGCACTCCAGCCTGGGCGACAGAGTGAGACTCTGTCTCCGGAAAGAAATAAAGGGAACTGACTTTTGAATTGTGGTTGTTTCAGGCACTGGACACTGGGGCTGGTGGGCTACCACGGGCCACTGAGAGAGCGGGGAAGGAGGTAAGGTTAGGGTGTGGGGGCAGGCAGAGGGGATGCGGGGAAGAGGGAGGTGCTGCCCCAGCCCAGAGAGACTCTTCTGGGACGGATGAAAGAAGGGGAGGGACAGCCAGCAAGAGAGGTCAGAGGGGTCCCACCGTCTATGCTTGGGGAAGCTGAGTTTCAGCCCAACTTGGCCTCTAGCCCAGTGCGAGTCAGACCCCGACTCTGACCCCAGGCAGCCAGAGCGGGGGGCTGGGAACTCACTGCCTCTGTCCCCAGCAGCAGTGTGCCTGTGCTGACTTTGGTTCCCTCCTCAGGGCCCAGCCCCTCCCAGGGCACCGCTGATGGTGCTGACGACTCCAGGTAAAGCCCCTCCACTCCTTGTCTAGACCCTGTCCATCTCCAGCCCAAGATGGCCCACAATGGGCTCCTACTCAAGCCAGGCCTGTCCTGGGGCTGAACAATGAGGGGCTGGGTTCCCTGAGCCACGCCCATGGTTGGGGGTGGTTAGGACCAGAGCAAGGGGAAACCTGGTGATGGCAGTAGCAGCAGCAGTGGCCCTGACAGTGAGCAAGGCTGGTGCGTGACCAGTGGGGCCTCTGGGACTTGCAGCTGAGCTCTGAGGACAGGGAAGGTGTTGGTCTGACCATGGTTGGAGGCCAAAAAGACCTGGGGGCAGGGCCCTCCTCCGACACCTACCACAGGACACGGCTGGTCCAGGCCCGGTGGTCCCGGCTCGCCCTTCTGGCCCTTCACTCCTTTCCGGCCGGGGACCCCTCGCTCTCCCTGTGCAGGAGGGGAGATGGTGGTATTGGCCATCTGCTGCCAGGCTCAGGAACCTCCAACACCTCTCCGAGAGACGCGCCTGGGGTCAGCCTCCCCCTGCCTCCCGCCCACCTGCCCAGCCCGGGTTCTCTGCCTGCTTCACCTGAGCCTCCACTCCCACCTGCCTCCTTCCCCCTTTCCTCCTGCCCCAGTTCCCATCCAGCTGCCCTTACCTTCTCTCCACGCTCGCTCCGATCACCTTTCTCTCCTCGGGGTCCAGGAAAACCCTGACAAAAGGATTAGAGGCTAAACCCGAAAATAAACTGGAGGTTTGCACCCCTGTTACTGGCTCATCTCCGTTCCTCTCCCATCCACACGCCCACTACCCCCCTGCATATTCATGACACACGCCGGCCCAGCCCCAGCTGTAGTGATACACTGCTGGGTACAAGGCTGATGTAGGAAGAGCATGCATTTAGGATGCCAGCTGGGCTTGCTCCAAAGTAGTCCCTGGACACCAACACTCAGGCAGAGCTGCTGGCAAGGGGCTTTCTCTCACATCACAGAGGCAGCTGGCGCTGGTCTAGGCTTGGCTGGGGACAGAGACCCTGGAAACCATGGAAGTCACGTCGCTGTCTGATGTGATGAGAAATGGTGACCTCTGTTCTGTGCCCTTGGTTCAACAGCCATCTGTCCATTCATCTATCTGTCCATCCATCTATCTGTCCATCCACCCAACCAAGGTGGTTAAACATCCACTAGGAACTGGGCTGTTGGTTGGACACTAGGGACAGAGAATTGGATTCATCATGGCTGGGCGTGGTGGCTCACACCTGTAATCCCAGCACTTTGGGAGGTCGAGGTGGGCAGATCACCTGAGGTCAGGAGTTTGAGACCCATCCTGGCCAACATGGCAAACCCCCATCTCTACTAAAAGATACAAAAATTAGCTGAGTGTGGTGGTGTGTGCCTGTAATCCCAGCTACTTGGGAGACTGAGGCAGGAGAATTGCCTGAACCTGAGAGGGGGAGGTTGCAGTGAGCCAAGATCATGCTACTGTACTCTGGCCTGGGCGACAGAGCAGGACTCCGTCTCAAAAAACAAAGAGGCCAGGCATGGTGGCTCCTGCCTGTAATCCCAGCACTTTGGGAAGCCGAGGCGGGCAGATTGCCTGAGCTCAGGAGTTGGAGATCGGCCTGGGCAACACAGTGAAATCCCATCTCTACTAAAATACAAAGAATTAGCGGCCTGGCAGCGTGTACCTGTAGTCCCCACTACTTGGGAGGTTGAGGCAGGAGAATCGCTTGAACCCGGGAGGTAGAAGTTGCAGTGAGCCAAGATCATACCACTGCACTCCAGCCTGGGTGACAGAGTGAGACTCCATCTCCAAAAAAAAACCCGCCCCGAAAACTTGGGGCCCCCCCAAAGGAAAGCCCTGCCCCAGTTGTTTTCCAGGCATTTTGGTTTCCCTTCCTGTCGCCCCCCCCTTTGTTTTTGTGCCCCCCTTTCCCACCATTGCAAATGGGGGGGGGGGGAATTTTTTCCCAAAAAGAAAAAAGGGCCGCTCCCCAAGTTTCCGCAAGGGGGGGGAGGAGACCACAAGCTACAGCCTTCCTTTCCCTCCTCAGTGTGCTCTCCCAGGGTTAATGTTCTTCTGTTTTGTTTTTGAGATGGAGTGGCGCATCTGTCGCCCAGGCTGGAGGTGCAGTGAGCGCAACACGTGTGCTCCACTGCAACGTCTGCTCCCTGTGATTCATGCCATTGCTCCCTGTCTCAGCCTCCCCACGGGCGGGCAGGGCTGGAATTTACAGGCACCCGCACCGACGCCGCGCGCGA